CGTTTCGGCGGGGAGTCTATGTTGCAAGCTAGTTCTTGCTTTACCAGACTTTAAGCCCACACAAGCAAGGTGGGCTTACCCGTAGTGAGAGCACCTTGCCTGGCCTGCAGCTAATCGAGGCTCCCTCTGGCAACTCGTGCTGCCGCGAACAACTCGCCCATCCTCTTCCGTTTTCTTCTCTTCCTTGCACAGCTGATCGGCGGTGTGTTCAAGACCAATAAGTTCCCATACTGCGACGTGGGCTTCACCCTGCTGGACATCAAGCCCCTGTCTGGCTGCCTGGCCTACCAGGTGCGTGACTGCGCTCGTTCCCACACCTGCTGCACACTGTGTGCAAGCGATGCAATCCTGCGCACCCGTCCCGCCCACAGTTCCACAACATACACATGCCTGTGGCACAGCTCCCCTGACCTATCCTGTTCATCCGGGCGGCCTGCAGAACCGGTCGAACAAAGATTTGATGGGCAGCGCTGTTTTCAAGTACCAGTGCTTCGGCTCCAAGGCCACCCGCACCGTGGGTAAGTCCGCTGGCCTTACCCTGTCATTGAACGAGGGTTCTGCTGGTGGCCTCCCTTTCGACCGCGTGCGTCGCCGCCTGCCCATCCGGATCCCTGGCCACGGTGCCGCGTTGCAGGCATTGTGGCCAGCGGTGTGTACCGCCTGGAGAAGCTGTGGGATGTGGTCATCGAGTTTGAGGCTTGAGGCACGCAGCTCCGGAGGTGGACAATGCTTGCCCGGCGCCGGCTGGATGTTGCTACCCCCATGCACCTGAAGAGACAGGAAGCACTGCGACCCTTGGTTGATTTGCCCCTCCCTATGATGACCTGTGATTTACCCCGGCAGGCTGCCAGCTGGCACCTCGCGCCCGATGTAATAGCCCTCCTTGGTATCCGGCTTGCCAGAGGGGTCCAGCGCCTGCTCATGGGCGGGGCTGTACCTGCAGGAGGGGATGGCGGCGAGGCCGGCGGGCCGCAACGGTCGGCAGGCGGAGGCCGGGCAAAGCCTGCGATGCGGCGGATGGTCGGCATGCCCCGCAGCCCCTCACCCGCGGTTGTTGGGGTCCTTGGTGGCCAGCAGGGTCATCTTCTTCTCCAGAGGCAGCTGCGGGAGGGCCGGGGAAGGTGCAGGGAGTGCTTGGGTTGGGCGATGTGCCACCGGCCGCCCAAGCCGTGGCAGCGCGCACACAAGCGCTGGGAGCGCACCTTGAAGAACTGGCGCTGGGCCTCTCTCATGTTGTCCACGACTACTGCGGG